GGGGCCGGGCCGTGACGTCACTCGCGGGCAGCGTTCTACGCGGCGGCCTGCCCTGCCGCAGTGCCCGGGCCGGGCGGGCGGGCCTCGTCCTAGAAGTTTCCTTGTTTTCAGCAGTAGATCAAGTCAAGGTAAAGGGTTTGATGTGCTTAGCGTAGGGGGGCGAGGAAGTCAGGGTGACACCGCTGTGCCTTGCTAAGCAAGTCTCGAGTGCAAAAACAAAACAAAAAATGCTTATGGTATGAATCATAAATCAGTTGCAAGCTCTTCGGATAAAAATAACGCCAGCAAAGCAGGAGGTTCAGATGGGAGAAATTTGAGCAGGCGACTGGATCTGCACATCACTCGCTTCAGGTTTCCCACTTGTGCACAGCGCGAGTTTGGCCTTGTGAGATCGTGTTTGCTGTTCAGGACTGGCACTGCCGTGGGAGCCGCGCAGCGGGTCTTTGTCCTAGCGGAGCCACGCTGGCATTAGCTGCCTTTCAAAGCAGTCTTTGGATGAGAGGTGGTGGTGATCCACCCCAGCATTTCTTGACCCCTGGGTAAGGGTCGCAAGAATATATGAAAGGGTCACGAACGAACTTTAAAAATGAATTTTCTTTTAAAGGAGAAAAACGTAGGAAACTGTAGCTTTTCCCTTGCAAGCTGGCAGAGGTCCAGCCTGAGAGGGGCTGCTTGGGTCCCCCCATGTCCCACCTACCCACCCCCTGCCCCTCACACTGGGGTGCTGGGGACAGCAGGTTGGGAGTGAGGGGCACTGGGTCGGGACTGGCCACTGATGTTTACAGACGGGTCCAGGTAAAAAAAGGTTGAGCACCACTGATCTAACCCATAGGTTTAAATCCTTAAGATGCCCAGGCCCCTCAAATGACACTAAGGTTTCAGCTTTCCCGTACTGATACATGGTTTATTGCAGGTAGTTTACTGTTTTGGGATCTCATGCTTTAGATCGTAAAAGTCCATATGCTGAATGCATGCAGAACTCTAGGACTCATGGCTCAGAGATGATACCTTTTATTAGACCAACTAAAACATGGCAAAAATATCTTTCTTTGCAAGCTTTTAGGCACACGCGCCCTTCTTCAGGCTGGGGGGAAATTAAAGATGGTAAAAGCCCCCTTAGGTAGACATTTTGCACAAAGGAAACTGAAGTGGACTCTCATGGACCCAAAGGAACAGACATCCACCTTCAGCTTCCTCTGCGCACAATGAAGTTTGTTTTCTACCTAAGGGGACTTTTACCAGCTTTAATTTCCCCCCAGCCTGAAGAAGGGCGTGCCTAAAAGCTTGCAAAGAAAGGTAATTCTTTTGCCACATTTTAATGGGTCTGATAAAAGGTATCAGCTCTGAACCGAGAGCTTTGCATTTCTTTTTGTCTCGGATCAAGACGGCTACCAAATACATCCCTGAAAAATGCAGAGTACATACCCTTCTGTTGCAGCCCAGCCTGCTTGCTGAGTATTATCAGCTTCCACCAGCAAGAAAAGAGGAGCCAGGCTAGTGGGGAATGTGACTTCCCTTTCTTCCCAGCATCCCCTGCAGGTTTGTCAGTGACGGACTCCCTCTCCTGGGTACATGCACACACGCACAGTTAAACCGCTTTTAATCACAAATGCATGCACACGCACACGAGGGTATACTGCTTTTAATTACAATCACAAACATACATACACGGATAAGCCGCTTTTAACCACAAACGCGCACACGTGCGGTTAAACCGCTTTAGAGAAGCACCGTGACACTGCAGGATAACGCGCACTGTTTGCACAGGCCACAAAGAGCAGGCAGAAGCGAACTGCAGCTCCCGCGAGCCCCTGAGTCTCGCCCCGCCCCCTCCTCCGAACGCCCGTCACGTGCCCCGAGGCTGCCGCCCCATTGGACGGGGAGCGAGGGGCCGCGTAGAAAAGCCGGGCGAGGGGCGGTGCCCGGCCTCTGCGCGCAGCACTGGCGGCGGGGTGAGTGCGGCGGCG